AAATTTGTAGTTGAAATTTGTTTTAATAGTCTTTTAAAGTACATTTGTACTTGAAGTAAAATTTGAGTCTATTTAGATACTCCAATTGGAAGATATGAGCCATTAAATTTTGAAAAAAAATTATTATAAGGATATATAAGGTTTTAGAATACCTTATCATACTTTGGATGTTCTTGGGTACCTAAGACTTATGTATTTGGTGTAATTGCCCCTAAAGGAATAATTTTATATATAAATTTGGTGCTTTTCTTATCTTAAAATTTGATTGAGGAATTTCTAACAACCAAAGGTCTAATACTTTCTTGACGCAATTCTCTCTATCCAGACAACAAGTTGGAGTTGCATAAATAAAAAAATAACTTTTCCTTCTTAGTTGCCTTCATAAATGCCCTTGCTCCTAGAAATAAGGACTTTATTGTTAATGACCTCTTGATAGGTTTTGCATGAAGAGATTCTATAGGAAATTAAATCTTATGACATCTCCAATCTATAGATGGATTATATCTTTTTAACCACAAAATTCCTAAAATTATAGGATTAGTTGAGGTTCTAATAATATTGAATATTATTTTTCTATTATAGCCATAAAATGATATTTTTAGTAGTATGGTGTCATAAATAATATTACTTTTTAAATAATAAAAATTTAAAAGAGAATATTTTATAATCTCTAAAGTCCTTAAATACCTCCAAGAAGCAAGATAATCCACTTTTTATCAAGAAGAGTGAAGCCCTAGTATTGATAAGAAAGCAAGTTTGACAAACTGACACAGATACACTATACAAGAGATCAAACAAGAAGTTGAATGGAAGAGTTTTAACAAGAGAGTTAACAAAAACTTGATTAAATTAGATGAATACAAGTTCAATACTAAGAAAAGTAAGCTAAAGCTTGAAGAGATGTATTGTCAAGACTAAAGATCTCCTCAACTTCAACTCCAATATATACTAGGTATTATAAAGCTTCTAGAAAAAAATCCATATTGCTTGAAGATGAAGCAACTTTAGGAAGCTTCTTGAAAAGGTTTTAAGTTGCTTGAAGATAAAGCAATCCTAAAAAGCTTCTTGGACAACTTTCTTAATCTTTTTAGAACTTTTTAGAACTTACTCAAATATTCTAAGAACCTTCTAAAATCTTTTAAAAATCTTTTGTGAATCTTTTGGAGCCTTCTAAAATCTAATAGAATATTCTAAAAATACTCCTAAAATCTTCTTGTTTAATATTTGTAACACTTATTTGTAAAAATAATATATAAATAAAGAAAATTTTTAATATTTAAATATAATGAATATTAAAATTTTATATTTTTAATAATATAAAATTAGATGAATGAATGATTGAAATATCTTTAAGATATTTATTAATTTATGTTAAAAAAAAATCAAATAATACATGCAAATATATTACTTAAAAATACAATACAACAAAAACTCTACATTACAAAATTAATGTAAGAACAAAATTTTCGATATTCTTTCAAGTATTTTTTACTCTACTTTAGAAAGTTTCACATCAAAAAAATACTTCTAGCTTTTATGTGGTTATTGTTGTTTAATTCCAAAAATCAAATATTATATTTTTTTTTTCATGTTTTATTATTTTATCAACTTTAAATTATATTTATGAATTATAAAAATTATATATATATATATATATATATATATATATATATATATATATTCTATAAATACCATTAATATGGAATAATATCATGTACTTGCATTTTTAAAAGGCTAACTATCCTATAGTTCATTATTAAAAAGACTATTTAATACAATGTTTATAGAACCATGGTCAAATTTGCCAAAGAAAGCTTTTAAAATCCACACAAACAATAAATTTCCATAAATTAAAATTTGACTAATCTATAGAAGTCTAAAAAATAAACCTTAAAAATATGGAATTATGCAAATGAATTAATTAATGAACTTAAATGAAGTTTTGAAGAGATTAGAGTTCTATATTATTTGGAATCAAGGATTGGACTAGGACGGTGGGATTGGAAGTAGGGGATGGAGGTTGAAGAAAGTGGGCATGGAGTGGAAACAAAGAATGTGAGACAAAGTAGCAAAGTAGGGCCAAAGTAGCAAGGTCGGAGTACAAGAATGGAGATATGAGATAGAAATGGAGTGAGGGATATGGAATTTGTACAAAAATAAATCATGAGGTGGAAAAGAAGGATGTAGCTATAACAAAGTTGGAGTATAGCTTTAACAAGTTCATATATATATATATATATATATATATATATATAATATTACTAATGCCACCACACTTTATGTTGTTGTTACCACAATCTACTATTAGCCACATGCCATTACAATTTTTGTTATTGCTACTACAACCTGCGTCTAATACATATCACCTACACCTTTTGTCAATGTTAAATAAAAAGTGGATTTTTTTTATAATTATTTATTTATAATTATATATTAAATTATATTTAATTAATTTAATATTCAATATCATAGTAAATTGAAAAAATAAATAAATCTATTCTTATTAGTTATTATATTTATATTTTATTAATATTAAATTTATTTTCAAAATAATTTATAAAAAATAAAACATATTGAAAACATTAATAAAAAAATAATAATTGGCATCAAAGAAATAAAAAAGATATGTTGAGTGGATGGTAAATTGTGATGGTAGTGGAAAAAAATTATTGTATGTATATATATATATAATTTTATATATATATATATATATATAATTTATATGTATACATATATATAATTTTTTTTTAATAATATATATTGGAGTTATACCAATGTCTAGTTTTTGTACATCAAATGCTTTTTTAAGATTAACATTTTAAAAGTATTCAGTATATTATTATATCATTATTTTTTAATATATATCTTTATATAATTATTTTTAATTAAAATTAAAATAATATAATTATATAAAATTTAATCTTGATTAATTAAATTTATTTTTCTTTTAGAATGAAGTTTTATTTTCTTGTTATTTTATGCATTCTATGCTAATATTATTTGTGAAAAAATAGAAATTTAGTTAAATTTACTAATTGATAATTAAAGAAAAATAATAGTGCCACAAATGGCAGAATATCCTATATCTCTCTATTTTGACATTTTGATGCATGTGATTATAATATTAAATGTATCCTAAATAAAATTAAAATAAAAAAGGATTTAAGACTTTTAAAAAATATATAAATTAGTGTTATATTTGTTTGTTAATTATGTTTTACAATTAGATTTATAATCATATCATTTAATTTTCTTAAATTTCACATATTGTTGTTAGAATATATAAGGTGTGAATAGACACTAGAATAATTATTCTCTCAAAATGAAAAGTGTTCTGTCATTTCATTACCATTTATTTTACTATTTCATTCTATGCAATTTTACAAATAGAATTTTTATTCCAAATTAAAAATAGAAGCTTTGTACTTCTTCTCTCTATCTCTAAAGCATATAAATTATTATTATTTTCATCGAATTTACTAGTCTATTTAACATCTTTAATTTGTAAAATAATGAATTATAATAATAAAAAATTATTTTATCTAAATTTTTAAAACTATATCCATTTACAAAAATCTGTTAAGTTTTCAATTCTTAGTAATGATGTAAAACTTAGTCCAACTACATTAAAAGCTATTAAAAACAAAAATCAAATGTTATTAATGTATTGATGAAATTAATTACCAATTTTTTTTCATAAATGAGAAAAAAAAATATCTAATTTTGATTGCCATTAACAAAATAAAAAAGCATAATATTCAAGGATTTAATCTAAGATTTTAAAATTTTCAAAATTGAAAGTATTTTGTGATTTATTTTATAAAAATCCACATTGCTAATTATTAGTAGATATTACGTTTTAATATTTTTCTTTTAAAAAATAGAACATTCTTTTATGTACATTGTTAATCATTATTAGTCAGAGCTTATTTCTATCTTATATTAGTGCAATTATTTACTACTTCACAAGCATATAGAAATAATTAAATTTATAATTCAAATATTGACTTCTTTTTTTTGAAACATTTTATGGACTGTATTATGATCCACTGCTATCATTAGAAGACAAATTTAAGTAAATAAAAGTATATTAAATAATATTTTACAAATTTTTATTACACTTTTTTTTTCTTAACATTAAGATGACTAGTGTATAAATTATATATATATATATATATATATATATACATTACCAACCATATTTTAGATCTTTTGAAGACAATATCATTTACATAATTGCTGTATATAAACTTTTAAAAATAAAATAAATAAAAGTGTAAAAATCACACACTTGCATAAATGGCAATAGAGGATATATACATTCTATTATGATTGTTAGTAATGAAGATATTTTCTTTTAATTTCTCATAACTTCCAATCATTTAGAACAGCAAAAATTTACCAAGCTTAGTAAAAACATCAAACTTGTTTGTCTGTTTTGTTGATTTTATCATTTATTTTCTAATGAAAAATCACAAAGAAGTTGACGAAAAAAATATTTTTCCATGTAGTTGCATGGATATAGATGTAATTATAATGCTTTCTGACTGCTCAGTTGCTTATTTATTCTTGATACTTTAAGATTGAGCATAGACTTTGATTATTTGATTAATCATAGTAGTGTGCTTTTTAGCGTACATAATGCAAACTTCGTTACCATGGCATGTGCAACAGTCGAAGTTTACAATATTACACGACTTAGCATATAACATTCATTGTCGCATCTAGTACCAGCATTTCCGTACAAGTCAGACAGAATCCGAATTTAGAACGATGTCATCCTCCATGTCACAAGCTTATCAACATTGTGTCCAAAACAACTTTAGATAGACAGATCTCCTTTAACAAGTTTCACTTTACACATTCTCAATACGAACTATAGACTGTAACTTCATGCATTAAGCAAAAACTCCTCATTCCTGCCAGCGCTGCTGCACTTGGAGTTGTGCAAGTAAAGACTCTGAAATGCCACGATCGACTAGCGGGAGACATTTGAACACTAAGAAGTAATTATTGTGCACAGCTAGAAAAGCTTTTATTTGTTAAGCTTGTTTAGAGAGAAAGATACAGAACCAGTAGCATGGGTAGCATGGATGCCTGATACAAATAATGACTGCAGTTGGAAACCAACAAACTACTATGACCAGAAAGAAAACAACGTACAACTTTCAACATTGAGCACACAATGAATGACGTAAATCATGGACGGTACGTTTAGAAGCTGGAGACTTAATGAAGCGCAGCCGGCATAGGAAGGATCTAACTTCATCCAGTTGAGACTCTGTACAGAACTTACTTAATTACAGCCATAATGCACCTACAAGCAGGCGCAAAAAAGTCCAAAGAATTGGTTATCAACTATCTATTCAACAGTGATGGCAATGGGACTCTGAACAACGTGGCTTCCATCTGTCCACACTAAGAATGCAAATTTCGTTTCAGAAGCACCCACCACAGTGCTGATGGGATTACTTGTAGCCGAGACCACCAGAGTAAAACTCTGCTTCTCGCCTTCTGCGCTAAAGGTCAGCTGCTCCGGTTTCACAGTGACGGTAATGTCATCAGGGGAAATAATAGAAGCGGAGTACGTAGAATTAGCAAATCCAACATTCGTCACCGTCCTCGTAAAGTTAGTCGTCAGAGTTGGCGTAGATGAAGAGTGCTTGAGGACTGCTGAAAATGAAGGGTAATTCATGTCCTCAACTCGGACGGCTGTCCTTGGACAGGTGACGGGCTCGTTTGTAAAAATCTGAATCCTTTTAGGTGAATAACCCACTGCACAGAGAAAATTCACATAATCCTGGGGGCTCATGTCATATACCAAACCTGGTTTCAAGGCTCTCTCAGGTTGCACGTGTCCAGAGCCAAAATGAAAGGGAGTTGCCTCAGTTGTGGTGGCCTCGTCAGTCAAGATACTATTTTTGTTGTCAAGAACGGTAGCCGTAGTCATTATAGCCGACTTTATCGCTGATGGGCTCCATGTTGGATGGGCTCCCCTCAATAAAGCTCCCAATCCACTGATATGGGGACACGACATCGAAGTTCCTGAGATGATGTTGAACTTTACTCTCCTGTTGTCAAAAGCCAATCCGCTCGGACCCACACGGCCAGTCCAAGCTGCCAGGATGTTCACTCCAGGTCCAGTAATATCGGGCTTTAAAACTTTAGGAGTCAAGGAGTTGGGCCCACGAGAGGAGAAAGAAGCTACAACGGGTGCAGGTTTCACATCTAGTTGCGTTCCTCCGAACTTAAACTTCGCAACAGGACTGTTTGAGGATTTGATGTAGCTTTTGATGGTGGCCCCACCCGTAGCACCCACAAGGGTAGCAGGCAAGATATGGCTATCTGCGAGAAGGCCCTCTCCATCCACAGGAGTGTTCGTCAGGATCATGCCAAAGCCTCCAGCACCCATGACTACCGCACCTTTAGCAACCCGCCCATTTCCTCCTCTGTCGCACAATACAATTTTTCCCTTCACAAGAGAGGGATCCAAGGAACCCTCCAAGCACTGAGAACCATAAGTAACGTTGGTTGACGCCACGTCGCCTCCATAGACCAAACCAGTGAACTCCTCATCCGAGGCACTTCCACGGTACAAAGAGACTCCACTAATTGTCTGATTATTTCCAAGCTCCACACCGGCAGGAAACTTTCTGTCCAAAGTACTCGCTGCTACAGTTACCACCCAGGGGGCAATGTTAGACACAGTCATGCGTCCTGGGCCAGAGTTTCCAGCTGAGCAAGATACAAAGATACCCTTTTTCATGGCCCCAAATGCACCAATTGCAATAGAGTCCTGATAGTATGGGACAACGCCGCCACCAACTGACAGAGAGATCACGTCCACCCCATCTGCTACGGCCTGATCAAAAGCAGCAGCAATGTCGGAGTCATAGCACCCTCTTTCCCAACAAATTTTGTACACTGCAATCCGGGCTTTGGATGCCATGCCCCTGGCAGTTCCTTCAGCTAACTCGTTCAGACTTGCTTTCTCTACCGGGGACCCTGCTGCCGTAGACGCCGTGTGAGTTCCATGTCCTTCCGTATCTCTGGGTGACCTAGACTCGATAGTATCATTCATGGGACCCGTGGCCGCTTCATACCCAGCAGAGAAGTATCTAGCGCCAATGATCTTATTGTTGCAAAGAGAGACATTGAAATCAGGACCTGACTGACATGACCCTTTCCAACGAGATGGGACGGGCCCCAGTCCCTTGTCACTAAAACTTTCACCCTCCGGCCACACTCCTGAATCTAGAACGCCAACAATTACATCGTCGCCAAAGTTGCTCTCTGGCCACAGACCCTCCGTGCTAGACAAGCCCAGGAATTCGGGAGTGTGTGTGGTATGCAAGTGTCTTACTGTATCAGGATAAACGCCAAGCACTCCGTCCATGTTTTTTAAGGCCTCTGCCTCCTGGAATGTAAGCCGAGCAGAAAATCCATGAAAGATGTTATGGTAAACATGCACTAGATGAGCCGTTGGTACATCATTCGAATCTTTGCGCCTAACCGACTGCAACATCTGGCTGTACCTTGACGTCGTCATTTCAAGGTAGCCCACTGAGCTGGTGAGAGTATTATGATCAACCTGAACAATATACAACGAGTCCGTGGAATCCATTGAAAAGGACTCACCCAATCCGGCTACAAGCATCCAGAACCCCAAGAGGGCCAACGCCCCAGCAGTCTTTCCCATCGTTGACTCGTGCAACTGAAAACAAAGCAAAATCAAGGGCACGCCTTATGTAAGGTCCAGTTCGCAATGATTGAGGAAAATATAACCATTCTACAACTAGTAACCCACGCTCACAAACTGCAAAAAGGAAATTCAAAGATTGAACAGAAATCATGCTTACAGTAACTCATCGCATGGCAGGTGGGAGGGTTTTATGGAATTGTATAATGAGAATAAATTATCTTCTACCCCCCGTACCGGATAGATACTCATTTCTTTCTTAATTCCAAGTTTTTATTGCCCAACAAATTAACTTGCAGGGCAGAACCGGATAGCAATAGACGACAGAAGGTCTCCATGCCACTCAGCTGGTATTCAAATGACGCTATCAAGATGCTAAATAGAAAATAGCTATTATCACCCTCAAGTATTTGCCACGTATGTATGCAAGACTATACAACGACAAACGGGAGAAAGTGATATTGATTCTTTACGACAATTGAGTCAGTCCATGTTGATGATCACGAGCAAATGTTATCTTTGCTAATTTTAGAAAATCTGTTTTCAATAAAACTTTGAGACCATCGTGGTCAAATCTAAGGCAGATGGTGAAGCCGAGATTGTACTATTTCGTAAAAGACGGATGCTACACAACTAGTAAGAAGCATCAAATGCATGTAACACAAGTAACAATAAGAATTCGGCGTGCTTCACTAAAGCAAAAAGCTCAGAGAGCTGAACACTATTCTTAGCAACCAACACCCTCTTGTATCTTAGGACAGTTCTATATACATGACGATAGCCGAGTGGAAAGTACCGACAAGAGACTGATTCCCCCTTCACTGGCAGATAAATTAACTAACAAGACGATGTCATCATCACTCGCTGGAAAAGTATTACGTAGCCGTCGTTAATCCGTTGATTTCTTTGCAGAAATCGTGCTCTTTCAGAGAACAGAAGGATGCTGGCTCCCATTCCATAAGAGGAATCTCAGGCAACTGAATGGAACTAGTAAGATAATCTTCCAGTTCTCAATTGTGTCAGGTGCTAAATCGCATGTTCTATCGATACTTAGCTGTGCTCACAACAAATTATGATGCGTCACAGCTATAACTGTTTGAACACACCAGTGCAGGTGGAATTCAAGAAGAGGATATAGGTAGAAAGATAACGTAAAACAAAACCCCGAACTCACAGCTAGACCAATAAATACTACAGTTCATCGGTCTGACAAGAAAAATTCAATCTATACCGGGCGGGAAGAAGAAGGTCATTTGGTTTGTGAATACAGTAAAAATTCCACGTTTTAAATCTGAACCCATCAAAGCCGAGGTGCATGAATACTAAAATTTGACTCAATATCTCAGATACACCAAAATTTCTCCAGCTGCTCTGCTTCATGCAGGAGAAGTCAAATACTAAGACCTCGCGGTGCTTCCAACCACAAAAGAACTAAGCTCAACATGAATGAAGTCGACAAGGTTCCTTATGAATAATCAAGCCCACAAGGGAAGCAATTAAGGTTGATAAATAGTTACAGCTTGAATTATGAAGACCAATTGTGACGTATTGGGGTTGATCCATAATCCAGAATATCCAACCGAAATCGTTCTAAATTTGGAAGCTACGGTTGAGTATTAGCAAGCAACTGGGATGCAACAAGAACACCTTCCGACCTGCCACAATGACATGCCAGAAAACCGACTTACTCCAACTAGGTCTTGCGGGTTACGATTTCAAACTGGGTCCATCGATACGGACGTCTCTTCGAAGAACAACCATCTGGAAGACGATTTCCAGTCTCCGCCACCACTGTCACAAACTGGGTTGAGAGAATCCACTACTTCTCCAAAATGCCAATTCTCCATCAAACTACCCAAACGACAGCTGACCCTGAGGTGGGCAACCAGCTACACCAGGTTTAGACCTTGCGCAGTGCACGGTAAACTAACCTGAGGTTTACTGTTAAGCAGCTCCTGTTTGCAACCGCCTTGTCTCACCTCAGCAACCTGCTCCCTCGCGGTGCAATATCAGCTTCCCAAACTCCACCAACCAATAAGTCAGGCACCAACTTCGCCAGCATCACGCCAGAAGGGTGCAGTGCAGCTCCGACTCACTAAATGCACTCCTTAACAGACAAGTTTTCATCGCCTCGGGTATCTATCCACATACGCAATTGCCAACACTCGGCAGGGATGTTAGCTGGAAATGGGACACGAGCCCACGCACCGACACAATCGTGACAGAGGAGGCGGAGTTCGATTGAAAGGTAGGCATCGACCCCAGCCACTTATAGCGAACAGAAATGGCGATAGCACTCATGACAGATTCCTGCACACCTCCCCTTTGCAGAGCTCGCCCCTGACAGGAGGGACGAGCGATAGCTTTACGATCGGGGGAGCACATGTGGGTGCATGCCCGGGGAGAAACTTTGGGGCCCCCCCCCCCCCCCCCCCCCCCCCTATAGCGCGCCAGTCTTTGGATGTGGTGGTCGGGCGTTGCCCGTGTGAACGGATCCCCGGACGCCGAGGCCGTGTGACCGTTAGATGAGATCTGATGAATGACGTCGTTCGGATCATCACGATTACAACTCCCTGACATGCACCAACGGAGTCTATCGTCACGCTTTGGTGTTGTGTGTACATGTATCGTATGAATACGAATACTTGTACTATATAAGTGTGTCTCATTGGGTAATTCATCGAAGTACTGTATATACACTCCTCCAATCAATGTGTTTGTGTATTTGTGCATTGATCTGGAAACCAAGGATTTATGTTTTTTTACACACATGGATTTAATCATTTTTAATGGTTAAAATCAGATTCTATGTTAAGGATCAAGCTAAGGTTGTTTCTTAAGTTTCACATATATATATATATATATATATATGCAAAAAGAGAGAGATAAAATGAAACACGTTTAAAATACACTTTTTTTTCCCCCTATTGTGTGGAATCCCAGAAAAGGGATATAATTTGGAAACAAAAGGAAATACAAGAAAAGAACATGAAGAAGGGAATGTAGACAACCAGGAAAAGGAAGGATGATAAGTAAATAAGAAAGGACAGTCGTTACACTGAGTTTGTTCTATTTATAAACTTCATGAGCTGGCAGATAGAGTGCTTAGTTAGAAGTTACTATGGATTCCGCGGAAAAATGAAGTTTGTATGCATCTCATGATGCTTCGCTCGTTACGCCCAACGGGTAGCACTGATTTTGGATAATTATGAAACACGTAAGTTCCGAAGATGGGGAGACCCCAAGAAGCATGACTTTGAAATTTATTCTCTTATAATTTAATTTTTACATGTTTTGTTTTAGTTTTCTAAATAAAACAATCGCATTGCATTTGGACATGTGCTTCACATTTTATTTCGCCTGTTAATAAATAAATAAATAATTTTTTTTATTAATTACATTCATTTCATATGACATGGTTAATTATTATGTTTGTCAATGTAGAATATTGAAATAGCCATGGTATCGTACAATTTCAAAAGTGTATCAAGGAATTCAACTTTATTTGAGAATTGATTAAAATAATGCACATGTAAATACACAGTAAAAAATATCCATATTTCTATGATTATTGTTTGAAAGAAAGAAATATCGCTTCAAGGAATGCATTGACTGTATTTATATGGATGCTTTGTTTATTATCTGCATAGTTGCCTAAATATCAGATATCACCTACAAGAATCATTCATCCACTGTCAGAATCATTACATCCACATCATTCATCTAAAATCGTCACCCTCATGCCACAAGGTAAATCCAACTGACACGTGGGTCCATGTCAGTGGTCCGTGCTTTATGAATGTGACATGAACCTTAAGAGAGGGGACAGAACTGATGTTTAAGGAACTATAGAACCTCAAGAGTCCTTTGAGGTCTGGCCTTTCACCCTATTCTGGAATGTTCCATAGGAGTAATAATCTGAGATCAGGTGCAAACAAAAATAGGCAGGTAAGTGAGTAAGCACGCAAAGTTGCTGCTGGACCATGCCAGGCTCCAAATATGAACAACAAAGCACCGCCTTCCTTGCTTCATACATTTTAGGGTTACCTTTCTCCTCTTCTGCTTGTCAAAAGCCTTTCATCATGTAGCTTCCCTCAGTTTTTTGTTTTTCCTTCAACTGAGTCCTCAAGCTGAAGATTTGGGTCTCCACATGGCTGTGGATGGAAGCCTGCTGCTTATCATTCCCAGTTTATAATGCATGGGACCTTGCAATAGGGGCTAGTCTATGTCACGACTGATGTGGTGCTTTGTACTCAACAACTATCCTTTGCTAGCAAAAAGAAAACTATTTCTTTATTTATTTTCTCCCATACACAAGTACATCATCTGGATTCCATTTGCTTTCCCTTTACATTCTTTTTTACTCTGTCTCCACACTTGTGGATGGGAGCACAGAGCCTCCTGCACAAAGCAAAGCAAAGAACAGTGAGCCTCTTATGCCTGCCAAATAGTGTGCTAGACTAAGGGTGAGAAAGAGAGTTTCACACATATCACTTGCACACATGATGGCATATCAACAAAGGGCATGGATTCTGTGTGAGTGCTAAAGATCTTATACATTTGAATCTGGAGAACCCCTTCTCACACAAATCTGCACCAGCTTGGCTCTATTTAAGCAGGTTTTATTCTATGTAGTTACTTAACTCATGAAGAGAGTGTCCCCTAGACTCTTCCCTCACACAATCAATGCTTCTGTGTAAGGCCCAGTACAGAGTGCTATCATCATGATTTGGGGGCATCTCCATGAGAGCCATTGCGTAATTAGCACACACCATACTGCAGATCTTCAACAATGGGGTATCATGTACTGTTTTCAAGCACAGAATAGCATGAATTTACTCAAGCACACACACACACACACATATCAGACATATAATGGTTATGCTTGAGGTATTGACCCTCCTGCATTGTATTCACAATCCCATAGAATTGATGAAATACATGAAATAGGACTACATTGCATCAGACATTGGAAGCTACATACCTCAAAATTAACTCCATAACTGGTAACAAAGCAATATTGGCTCTTAAAAAGTCCATCATGAAAATGTTAACCAACAGGAATGCTCACAGGTATGGCTCAGGCAAGGCTTGAAGCTTTCACATTTCCAGTGATACCGTCTCTACACAATCTTTTCAATAACCAACTTTTACTCCATGATTTAACATGTTAAGGGTACCTACCCCAAATTGGGCATGTGCAATCTTATAGACTTAGACAATGTAGTGACAAACATTTCACATAAGACTGTCATAGAAGTGTCAAAATCCTCCTAATATTGACAATAACTTATATACATTTGACTGTAAGATGTATACCTCAAAAAGTGGGAGGGTAGTCAGTTCAAGATGTGACTATACATATAACAAATAATCACATCCATGAAAAATATCTATTAATACATCAGCATCTATTTAACTTAAAGCACCAATATGACATTTAGCTTAATAATCCATGTAAGCCTGTTGTCTTAGGAGCCATGCCCACAGCAAATAGAATAAGGTGACTATTTTAATCTCTCAACTTTTTGTACATCCTTCAAAAGCAAGCAAAGGTTCCATGAGATCATCAACACATGAAAATATGAAGGACAGGGATAATACAATTTAGTGCTTCTAGATTGCTCAGCTTTTAGGCAAGTCAATAAAGATGAGTACACTGGACATGTTCTGATTCATATTCATTATCTCATTAATTAAAAACTATTGACTAGTACAATAATCATCAGAGGAGATTATTATTATTATTATTATTTGACACAAATAGAGCTGGTTCTCTATTGCAGTGAAAAGGTTAATGTACATAGGCCCCAACCAGGTCCAGTCAGGGTGGTATATTACAGCCAAAATATAAATAAAGAAAACTACCTCTAGGTCTGACTAATTTTCATGATAGCTTCTTTACTAGCCATGTTGCCATTACTCCATTTGCACACCATTGTTGTTGAAATTGCTCAGTGTACCCTGTTGCCTTTGTAGGCATCAGTTGTATGTTTTTGAGTGTTAAGCCATGCATTCTTCCTGTAGTTGAGGAATTGAGGCATATCTTGTAATACAACTTTTCTTATGACTAATGTACTCCATTAAATGAAGCATTGTTCTTTTCAATTCATAATATCCACAATATGTCACCTTTTATAAGAAGCTATAGTTTGTTGACTATTTTGAATTTGCATAGTATATGATGCATAAAGATGTAGTGTTTTTAGGAGGGAGAGAATTGCATAGGACATATTCCATCACTTTGAATATCCATGAGGTTGTTTGAATGTCTCAAATGTATTCTATTACCTAGTAAATTAGTAATACTACCATAAGTCAATTGTATTAATACAAACATCTATTTTGCACTTCATGAAAGGAATTCAAGGATGTCAATCTTCTATTGAGACATTTTTTTTTATTAAATGGTATTTTCAAAAATAATATAATATTATTTTTTTAGTGCCAATTAGACATATATGGTAACATTGATCAACATTGTCACTTACTCTCTTTCTCCACACAATTACCACAATAATTCAATTCCATGTTAATCATAAAAGGTTGAATTTTTTACACACTTGTTCATTGTTTCAAACGTTAGTCCATTCTAATACATAGTTGAGAGGTATGTAACTTGAGCTTTCAAGATTACTAGCAATCATGAAATAAGACCTTAAGAAAGCAGACATGATACATATGATGATAAAAAAAAGAAAAAAAAGAAAAAAAAAAAAGGCCTAATTTATTATTCAATCAAAATTACTCAACCTTTAGCCCAACACTATCTAATTTGTGGTGCTACTATTTTAAATCCACTAAGTGCCATGTTAATTCTTAACAACCATGTTGTACTTTCTTCAATTCTTAAATATTCTTCTATTTTATCATGTCATTATTTATTTTGGCAATATTGTAATAGCATCTAATTTCCTCGCTTACTACTCCTCTAATACTGAGTTATTCAAGTATTTCAACAAATATCATCTTGGGGTAAGTATCAGCTCCTTAGACAAGAAATACTATTATAGGCAAGTGTACTTATCTTATGTAGGAAATATTTCACCTCTTGAGGTATCTCACATCTTGTCCTTAAGATATCTACAATGCATAGATGTTTTTGGTACTATTTTACAAGAACATAATTGATCATTATAGATTGGTTTATGCCTATCATAAATTTTTTGAATTGTCATAGCAAATCCTTGGTGCATACAATGGTGTTTATTTTAAGTTTTTAACATATGTTAATAGATGTCAAAAACCGGTTTTGTTATTAATTTTCCATAGAATATATAATCTACTAAGTTACTATATATAGTATATATATATTATATATATATATATATATATATATATATAGATATATATATTTTAAGTTCTAGATATTTGACAAAATATTTTAAGATTAT